AAAGTTTAAAAACGATAGGAATAAGATCTTAGAAGTGTTACTGTTGTCAGAAATAAACAATAGGTAAAAGTATGTTTTTAATCATTTTATTCAAACAACAGTAACAAAATAATAATAGAGAATTATATATGAACTAATAATGGTTTATCTGGTATCGGGGCAACTGAGCGAAATGATTTTTCTCGATGAGGGTATAGACGAAAAGTGAGGGTGAGGGCGAAAGGTGTTTGGCGGTTGTAACTTTCGCGCATTTTGCTGAAAAACCTGTTCACAGATATGATTTTTCGCTCAACGGACATCATATCAATCTTCTTGCTAGTACTTTCTCAACATCAACTTTACTAACATGTTATCTTAAACCATATTCGAAATGTTCGACATTTTTCCTTTCGACTAAAGTCAATACATTCATATATTCTACCGCATTTTTATAATCTATTAAAATAATTAATAGTATAATTACCGACTAGGAAAATATTTATTGCTATTTATTAATGAAGCTGCTCCATCGAGTGTATGTCTTGTATAATCAATAGCTGGACACTAAAAATAATTTTCTTTTTAAATCATTTAAATTAATATTTATTTACTTCTTTTGGATTTTTATGAGCAGCACATAAGAATATCCATTGTTCGGTTGCTGTCATTTGAGTACAAGTTTCTGGTAAACATTCTTTCTAAATACCAAAAAAAAAACGAATTAGAAAAAAATAAATTTTATTGAATTAAATACTTGTAAAAGAACAGTTAAATCATTTAATTCAAGACAAAATTGTCTTAAATGTTCATATTTCCAAACACCTTCATCTTGTTGATCAGGTGCTTGAAGAATAAAATCAATATCTGATGGATTACGTCGAATAGATTGTTGAATATACTATTCGAAAGAAAAACAACAGAAATGAAATAATAAATTTAAAAAAATGATAAAATTTTACTTGTTGAATATGATACAATGAATCCATATTTTCTGATGTTTCTTCAGGCCAATGACACCAGTCTTTTGCTTTAGTACCAGGCCGATTACGGCGTAACGGTAATTTAGTATTTATTTGTAGATCAGTCATATCTAAAATATCAACAATATATATATACACTAAACAATGAAAATAGATAATATGAGTATTGCTATAGCGGAGGGTTAATACGTGCGAACGAGCTATATTTTCTATAGTTTACCAATATCACAGGACAACATACAGGCATGGACATGAAATTATATCATTAATTTTAATTTTTCAATAACTTCATCAACTGTATTGACAACTACAAACCAATCTTTTGCTAACTCTCGACTAATAAAACCTTCTTTAGACATATTTTCGAATAAGTCTAATAATGGATTATAAAATCCATCGATATTAATAATAAATATAGGTAAATCAATTAATTTAAGACGTTTCCAAGTTATAGCTTCCATTAATTCTTCTATTGTCCCTGGACCACCAGGTAATGCAATAATACCATCAGAATTCATCATCATTCCATGTTTACGTATATGCATTGTTTCAACTTCATGTACTTCTGTCAAACCAGGATGAAGTGTTTCAGTTGTCATAAATTTCGGTATCCATCCAATAACTTTTCCTTGAGCACTCAGTGCTCCATTAGCTACAGCACCCATAACACCAAACTGAGCGCCACCATAAACAACAGTTATATTAATTCGTGCAAGCGCTTCGCCTAATTGTTGACCAGCATCCAAAAATTTCTTATCACAGGTAGTACTCGATGCACAATAAACACAAATACGTTTTGGTATCATCTTGAACGAAACAAAAAAACAAAAATAAATAAAATTAAAATTTCTTATTTTTTCTTCTTATAAAACATAAAACAAATAGATGTACAGATTAATATGTATATATAATATATATTTAAAGATCAACACGTGATGCAAGGGGTATATTTCGAAGTTCGTATTTTTTGGAAAGATGTTCCGATAATATTGTCATAATAACAATGGAGAAAAATTGTGTAACATACCAAGAAAATAAACGGGGAGATTGAGAATTATATATCCAACAAGCGATAAAATGATATACATGGATTGTTATTGAAAAATCTAGACATTGTTTATATCGACCAACTATATAAACAATTGCTAAACCACTAAAAACAGAAAAAAAGAAATAAAATAATCTATAGACAAAAATTCAGTTAGTAGGAGTGTTGATTAATCATCAGGATTCAAAAAAACAAAAGTCAGTTACAAAGGGAGCTGACTTATTTTCTTTATCATACACCATAACAGACATAGCTTTAAAAGCAAATTTTACTAAACATGCTTATTGATTATTAAAAAAGGCATCTAGTATTCTATCCCTGTACAGTTTGTATACTTGATTACACCATGCTAAACTAAATTCAGATAGCAAAAACTGCTGAGTGAATCAAATGCCGAAGTTCAATGGATTCTATTCGAATATATTTCTTACCTTGTTAAAGCATTGAGAAGAAATACACTGCTAAATAATCTACCATTCCAATTAGATACATTAAATATCTAAAAATATTTTCATAAATAATATAATCAATAGAAATTTATTATTTTTTCATACTTCATAGGAAAAAATATATTCAAGTGTAGGTGGGCGATCGACTAACAGTGTAATAAGTAATACCCAAAATCCCAGACCTAAATAATACAATGTTTGTATAGAAATAATCTGACTAATGATCAACACTGGATCCCATTTCTGATAACGAAAACCATTCATTATATTGTTTGTTTGTTTTTTTATCTAATATAAAAGCATATCTAGAAAACAAAAACTAGTTATTCTTTTACTTCTTGTTACGGTCTTCTTATTTATTTATTTTTACATCGGCATAGTTTTATGTAACTGAATAACAAATGCTCGACAAAAACAAATGAAACGAAATGAACAGTGATCAAAAACAAAATGTCTGATTTTTTATTTCTTTTTACCCTTTTTGTGATGACCACCACCCGATTTCTTAGGTTTACCACCTAAATAAAAATAATTTAGAAAATAAATAGAAGAAAATTTTTTTTATCTTCATACCTGGCATAATAACACCTTCATATGTTTGTTGAAACCATTTTATAGCTTCGTCTTTTTTAATTTTATGTGAAGCACCCATACTTGCTTTTTTTGTGTTTTCGTTTACCAATATCGAAACCGGCGCGACCGAGTACAACATAAAAATCCATACCATAAATACCAATGGATGGATCATATTTAATACCTAGAAAAAGAATTGTATTTAATAACAATAGAAAGATTGTATGAATAATTAGAGTTCTATTGATTCTTAAATGTAATGGGATATAAAAGACAGCCTGACATAATTTTTCATACCCGCGTATAGATAAAGAATAGAACCTAATGATTTTTTCTATAAGAGTGAATCTGAACGGTAAAGAGAGAAAGGCGAACTTTTGATAAAAGATTGTAGAGGGGTGTGGGTGTCAATGGCGGATTTAGGAGTAGGGACGACGGGGGTAATTGCCCCCCTCCTTCCGATTTTTTTTTGATTTTTTACAGCAAAAATGAACAGAAAAATAGGTTCACACTACTTCGATTGGACTCAAAAAATAGCTTTCAGCCAAAATCGCACCCTCCTCTCCAGGTATCGCCCCTCCATACTCAATAAAAATCGCTCTCCCCCCTTCTAAAATCCTAGATTCGCCACTGGTGGGTGGAGGTGTGGATATGGTGTCATTCTTTCATACCTACACCCCTAGTTTTCTTTAACTATTTCTTTTAAATATTGAATTTACCTAAATCGATATGTTCTTGGATACCAAAGCCAAAATTACCCATTTCACTAAAGTTATGTTTGTGTAATTCGTATTCTTTAACTTTAAGACCTTTTTCTAAAATTTCTTTGGCTTTTTCACCACGTACGGTACAAAATACACCGATTTTTTCATTACGACGAATGCCGAATGATCGAACGGTATAACGAGCTTTTGAAAAAACTGGTGTTTGACCAGTTAATTGTTCGAGTACTTTTGATGCACGTGTGAGACGATCACCAGATTCTCCAACACAAATGTTTAAACATAATTTTCTAATACGTAAATCTCGCATAACATTTTTTGATTTATCTTTCTTTATAACTCGACCAGTTGTTGTTCCGGTTTTTGTTGCAGCTGTTTTTGCTGGTGCGGCAGCTGTTGTTGTTGGTGCTTTTCGACCGGTCATGATTTTATCTTTTTAAATCCAAAGATATTTTCAATCTATAAATAATAAACAAAAGTTAAAGAATTACATCGAATAGAAGATTACATTAAATATGAAGAAGAAAAGAAAAAAAAAGTGTAAAGACGAAAAAAACAAACGGATTTTCTAATAAAAAGAAATGCAATATACAAATCACCGAAGAAAAAAAAAACGCGAGGAATGATAAAATAAATTTTCGAATAGCTTTAATATGATGACTAGAAATATATAAACACAAAAATCTATTCCTAATTACAATAATCAATAAAACTATATGCGTACTAGATTTTGATTTCGAATTTGTTCTTTTTATTATATTTTATATTTTAATTGTTTATTTGAAGACCTTGAAATTTTTCTAATTGCGATTGTTGTCGAAGATAATCAAATGTTTTTTGTATTTGACTACGAATAAATTCATCACCATCATTAGATGATGTATGTGTTGTAGATGATGTTGAATCAAGTTTTGATATATCACTTTGAAGTTTTTCAATTAAAGTATTTAATACATTTATATCAATCTTAATATATAGAAAAAATATAAAGAAAATATTGTGAAGTTTTGTTTTTTCGCTTACATCAGGATGATTTTGATTAAAGAAATAAATATATGAATTTAATAATTCATTATATAATTGAACTTGAGCTGTTTGATCCATTACTTGTGCTATTAATTTCGCCGCTTTTTTTAAACATGCAATTACTTTTTCACTATCACGAATCTAAAGATAATAGATAGATTAAATAAATTCTGTTCATTTATAGAATTATTTTTTCGTTGATAATCAAGCGATTCTTCTTGTAAGAATAGATACTTTACTAAATCGGATACAAAAGTATTGAATTCGAACTTAATCCTTCGGCGGTGTTTGTGGATCCCAGGAGACTCACAGTAGTGTTTTTTTCTACTTTAAAATTCGAAGCGATCTCTTCGTTAGTCTTCTAATGATGCATAAGAACTACATAAAATTTCTTGCAAAACTATCAGCAGCCGAAAACTAGAGTATGGGTCGGCTTAGGCCTCCTGACAACACTCGTATTATACCATTTATTGAAAATTGGTTAATTTGTAGTTACCAATAAGGAATTATGTGTTTCTCTATCCTTATCTATCTATCGAAATATTTTCACTATCCTCTTAACTTTTGGTCACGATAATCGTAATTCCGTTTTTTTTTGAATGATCAGCGTCTTACGTAAACTACAAGCATATCAATGCATTAGTGACTGAAAAGAGATCATGACAAAGACCTCGATCTATCTTATAAAGTACAATACAGATGAAAAGTCACGTTTTCCTTATATATTTACATGTGAGTCCACTTGGACCCACATACATCGTTCGTGTGACAAAAAGCGTACACCTCCGGAGGGTTAAATCATACTCTAAATACTTTTAAGCAAAGTTTCATTTGTTTGCATTGAATGATCATATAATTATCAACATCTACTCAGAACCGGAGCTCGTCAAATTCAGCCTAATCAACAATGATTTCAAGCTAGAAATGAGAATTATCATTTCATATACTGACTAACCTGATCTATATTTTTTTATATTCTCCAGTGGTTAACACGTACATCTATTTCTTAGCTCATACAGATTCTTAAAGTCAATTGTTATCCTTTTTATATAAAATACAGAATTTTAAAAAAATACGAATAATTAAGACACTCATGCTGTGAAATACTGTATTAGTCAATTATCGCATTACTACTAACATTATATAATATACTGATTATCCATACAAAAAAGTTTTACTGAACTTCTTCTCTAAAATTATGGCATCATTTAAAATGACTTCTTCTCTTTTTTTTTACCTGTTCCGATTTTTGTGTTGATTCATCAACACGTTGTGCACTCCAAAATAGATGAGTACATAAAAGTAATGTTCGAACTTGATCTGGTCGTTTAACTAAACGTGTTGCAGCTTGAGTTAATGATTGTCGTAATGTTGAATGATTTTCTTCACCAAAACAGCTCACTTTTTCTAATGTACCTATTAAAAGTGTCAATGAAGCACATTGAGCTCGTGTATCACCTGCTTGTTCTTCATATAATGTATAAGCCTTAGAAGAAAAAAAAGAAATTCAATAAATTTTCGATTCTTAATTTTGAAAGAAATAAAATTACTTGTGAAAAAAATTCATAAGCAATTGTTTCAGCATTTTCTGATCGAATTTCACTTGCTGTTAATGCACCTTGTAAATAAAGACGTAATGATAGATCATTTGTTTCTAATTTTGTTAAAGTATTTATTAATTGATTAGATAATTGAAATAATTTTTGACATTTCTTTTCCCATTTTTCATCCTACAAATATTCAATTAAAATAAAAAGAATATAAGTATTTTTTTTTGATAAAAACCTGTTCTCGAATATCTTTATAACGAAAAGTTAATGCATATGCTTGCATTATCATTGGCGGATAAGTAAAACGCATACGTTCTAAACCACCATTTTTTAAATGTATCTTGACAAGTTTTTATAATATGATATTGTTGATCCGGATCATTTATTGCTTTAAAAGTATTGCATAAACGTGCGACAAGATTTTGTTCTTCAACAAAATCTTCATTTGTTATTGTCTGTCGAGAATGTTCAAGACTACCATCAGGCTGATCAATAATTAATGTCGATACTAAATCAAATAACTGTGTTACTTGTTCAGCTGTTGGAATAATTGTTTCTTTATCAAGTATACTATTAATAATATACATGCAAACAGTATGTCGTTCACGATAACTAAGTAATTGTAAAACAAGTTTATAATGATTTAATTTAAGTACATCAAGTATATCATAACAATCAATTGGTATTTTAAGCATTTTAACTAATTCTTTAGCTGCTTGTGTACCCGTTGTAACTCTATAAAAAAAAAGAAAAAATTTCAAATTCTATTGAGACAAAAAAAGTATCTTACTGAGTATCCAAAGCAATATTATCGAAGATTTGTCTAGTATTTTCAAGTACTTTATTTCCATATTCAAATTGATCACGATAGCATTTTAATGATAAACTAAGTAAAGCACTTTGTAAGGCAACGATATCTTCTGAAGGCATAGTTGAACGACTCTAATAAATAATTAAATATAAATAAAACAGTTCAACGGTTATTATAAATTCTAAAGTTCTCAGAATTCTTTAAGATGGTTCCGTACGAATAAATTTCAGTTTAAATAGTATTTTTTAGTTCTATTTCGTTTTCTAGACATTTTTTCCCCAGGGAGAATGTTCAAACACTGCTGAGCTTAAAACCCGTCATGAGTATTATATTAATCAATTGAATTTACTTTGATGACTTCAGTAATTTGTTCGGAAAATATATCGAATAATTGAATATTTTCAGGAATGTTTTGTTGATCACGTGTTGAATAAGATGTTAAACTTAATTTAAAAAAAACAAAATAAAATAATAATAAGAGGAATTTATGTTAATATTACCGATCAATAAGTGAAATAAGAATATTGCGAATATTAACAGTAGGACTTAATTCACGGCAACCTTTAAGGAATTCATTGAGTGTATTTAGATGATATTCATCCGGAAAAACCTGAAAGGAACAAAATCGAAAGGTATTTTAACAAAAGATATGAACTTACTTGTATAATACATTCCATTAAATATTCTTGCGCAATTGCATCGCGACAACTAACAACTTGTTCCATAATTTTAGGAAGTACAATCTTAATTAGAATAATATAATTAAACTATTTTTTCTTTTGTTGATATGTCTTACTGTTTTATATCGTTCAACATTAACACATTCAAGTTCACTTAAACGTACTAAATTAGTTCCAACTAAAATACGTAATTCTCGGCGTTCTTGTTCACGGCGGTTTAAATCTCTTTACAAAAGAAAATATATACACAATACAATAGATTATTTTCTATATCTACCGTGTATGTCCTTGATATTGCATTCGTACCCAAAGTTTATTCATTTCGGAAAAATTTAATAAAATAAAATCAAGCGAATCAAGAATTGTTCCTGTTTTATTTTCTTCTCTAAACAAAAACAAAAACAAAATAAGAATTTAAATTATAATCAATAAAAATTCTTACTGATTTTCTTCTTCCGTATCCGGTAATAAACTTTTTGCGCATTGTAATAAATAATTTCGAAGAAATAAACCACGTAACGGATGTTGAACACCACGACACATTTCAACTAAATCACGAAGTACTTCACGACGAGGTAATTCATTTGCTCGTATATAAACATGACCAATCGTAATTAATAAATACCTATAAATAAAATAAATTCAATGATCCGCATAATGAGATATATCTATTAAAAGCAAAAAATTCTAATTAATAATAATTTCCGACTAGATTATACGCATGAAAAAGTTTTTTACAAAACTACATACAATCTTGGAACAATATTGCCAGCATACTGTACAACTTCATAGAGATCATGACTACCACGTCCATGTTCGAATTCATCAGTAAGATAAAGTTCAAGATGATGAAGTTCTTCAACAACCACAACGTCTAGAGAAATGAATAAATAAAAAAAATTAGATTTTGAATATTTTCGGGTTCTCTTCCTACGTAATTCATAATAATTTTTAGGTGATAAAAGTGATGTACGTAATTCACCAAGCATATTAGCAGCATGTTTAAGTCCTTCCATAACTGATTGTTGATCAAGAACACGTTTCATTGCAAATGCATGTTGTCGAACATTTTGTAAGGACTCAGCAAGTAATTTCTCTTGATTGTCCATTGATATTCCAGCAATACTACCTCGGCTAGTATCGGCTGTTTTTTTGCTGAAAGTAAATAATTAGGAAGTAAGGAATAAGAAAAAAAAGTTAATTAATAAGCAAAATATTACCATTGAAAATGATAAAGACTTAAAATTTATCGATTTATCTAAAAGAATACTATTTTTATCATTTAAAATAATAAAAGAAGTTTTATGATAACGTAAAAATAAATAAACATCAACAAATAATACGGACGCATGTCTACGTGAACAGAATCTATCCATTGGAGATTCGTTTTGCCTTATTTCTGATGTTTTCATAGTTAGAAATCGTTGATCAAAATTTTTACATTTCTATAAAAAGAATAGTTTTATTTTTATTAGGATTATTTAGAAAAATTCATTTGATAATAAACATCATTTATTAGATATGATAACTATAGATGACGCTAGATGTCGTGTTTGAATTGCGTTGATAATATATTGTTCATAGTATAAAATATTTGGTCGTTCTATAAGACAATTATATGTCATTACTTTACTATTCAAAAAGTGCTAAAGAATATGAATAATGTTTTGGTTGTGATTAAACGTTTTATTAAAAATTAAAAAATGTGTTTCTTTGACGAAGCTGGATTATTATTAACAAATGTCTTTAAAAATTAGTATATGCATATGATGATTTAACTAGTAACCAAGTTGTGTAATTTTGTCAACAGTCGTTCGGCTAATCCGGGAGCGACGCCTAACTTATGTTTCATATGATAGTTCAATCCTGCTGCTTTGAAACGACGAAGAATTTCTTCGATATTTGCTGGATCCGATCCTAGATGCAGACGAACATAGGCTGCTACCTCAGCATGAGTAAACATATCGCCACTCAACATAACACCAGTGGCATAATAGAGATCATCGGAGAATTGTTCGGCAATTTCGGATTTCTTCTTCGTGGAATCTTGCGAGTAGATCAGTGGTACTTCGAATATTAGATAGGAAGTCGATGGACCGGTACAAAGTGACGTCGACGGGTAACTCAGTTCTTGTTCCATGAATTGACAAACAAAGTTTTTCTTGCGTGCAATTTCCATACCATTGTCTACGATTAAAAAGTTGATTGTATGGCTAATAGCAAGAACATTTGTCCTGCTTACTTACCGACAATAAATTGTTCCGCATCGTGTTGATGTTTGCTCAACCATTGACAAAGAATTTCAGCATTAACACAGCCATTTAAATAACTATGATGCCAATAGAAGGTATTCAACTGCGCCATCAGTTGTGGAGATGAACTGATCATCGCCATACCGAGAGCATTGCAATTAAATTGTTTACCAAATGGATGAGTGTGAAGCCAACGCGTAGCCATTGCACTACGAATAAAAGAAATATGAGAAAGATTTTCAAAGATTTCATCTCCGTGCTTCACATCATCATCATCAAAATCTTTTCTCTAATACTTACCTATTCTTATGTTGAGCTAATCGTTTCAACCAAATTTTCAATGTATTGACGATTTCAACACGTGGATCATGCACACAATAGTATGCATCATCGATCAACAGATAACTTTCATGTTTCCATGCTAAATCCATTAAAAAGTTCACCACATCCAGTGACCATTGTTTTCCACTAAACAAAAATTTATGATTACGTATGTTTCGAATTCAAGTGTACACGTACGTTGGATTATGTTGTGTATTGATAATGACTAAATCGATCTTCTCGGGTTTTTGTTCGTCCAAATATTTGGACCATTCTTTCAGATCCGGAACGAATTCCGTTCTCGGTGTAAGTGGTAAATACAACACCTTCATTTTGAGACTTTCGTAGACACCGGTATAATCCCACCCCGGTTGAAATGATACTGCAACAGAGAAAAGTACTCAATGTTTGTCAATGATAAATCTCATTTCGTGTCATTCTGGTTCACTTACATACGACTGGTTGTCGTTTATCACCCTTTTTTTCCAGCTCGTCCACGATGACTCTACCTAGATCGAACATGATCAATCGTGTCGAGTTCATCAAACAGCCCACTTCGAAATCTTCTGGCTTGACAAGTTCATCATCTAGTTCATGATGACGAATCATCAGTTTCTTCAAAATTTGTCGGTGTTCTTCCAAGCCGAATGAATATTCCATATAGCCAAAATATTTCAAATCTAATTTGAGTTCATGATCGATAAAGTGTTTCAACGATGGACATACTTCAGTAAAATGTTCACCTAGCAAGTGAGATTTATCGATATGTAGATGTTCAAAAGACATACGCTTAGTCTTACCTTTCGATGAATAAATAGTTGGACCAGCTGGTTCACCAGCTGCGATATAGTTCGCATATAGTTCTTGTTCGTGGGAAGTACGACGAAGAATTTCGTTGGAATTTAACAGATGAGTACGAGCACCTTCGTAATGAGCATCGACGCGCGAAGATGATTCGATACCAAAGATAGAGCAGAGAGTCGATTTCGAAGACATTAGATCTGAAATGACCGATAAGTATGCGAAATGTTTAATGAAAAAAACATCAGTTATCAATGTATAAGTAATGCGATGAACAACAAATAGTATGAAAAGATTCGATTACTTTTTTGAATAGTCTCACTAAATAGGGTCAACGGGTGCGAAAAAACGAGATAAGTAAGGATTGGTTCATCCGCTTAAGTACAATATGTAATCGTATTACAACAATTCTTCTCATTCTTTTACATCTTAGTTCGACGTATCTTTATTCGCATCAACAGATGACACACTTTGACGTTCGCTCGTCCGAATACTGTTCTTTGTCTTTTCTTTTTGTTTTGAATTGTTAAGGTAAACGAAACAAACATAAGAGAAATTTAGTTTTTCTTTTGCTGTCATTTTAATATTGAAGAGAAATTAAGATCTGTTGACGACCTATACATCTCTACACACTATGAAAAACTCCTCGAATCAGTTGAGTTCGATCCAGAAACATCCATATTTCTAGAAAAGAAGCTGTTCAAGCATTATTTTGCTTTCAAGAGAGGGTGTAGGTGTGAGTGGATGTGCTCATTTCAAATATTCTCACATCCATCTTTTTACATCGCACATAATATAAGACTGACTTTAACTGGTTTTCTATGAATGTTCGAGCGGAGAACATCGATAAAGCATCTTCACTTTTTTTTTCGGCGAAAACATCAGTTTCCAACAGATAAAATGCCACCCAGTCATAGCTTTGATAACAAACTCATTCTTTGACATCTGACAAACAAAAATAAGTGAAGATGCCGTCGTCTTCAATAATCAGTCTTTCGGCTACCATGTACATGATGTTAGTTTGTTATCTCTTGTCCTCAAGCCTATACGGTGACGATGTGGGTGACATTTACGAACCATCTTAGTCAGATGGCCAATATCCATTCACTCACCCGCACACCCACACCCTCATTTCATCAGATGATGAGCGAAGTGTTGGACAAAGTGGAAGTAACGTTCAACGCACGTGTTATCTTTCTGCTGGTGTGTTTCGTGATGAACGGAATAGGACAGAAGCACTCGAGGATAGCAAATAAACTAATATTTTTCGAAAAATGGAAAATCTCAAGTGTACGACATGAAGCGGTAGTCGCGTCAAAGTTTCTCCAACTCATGCACACATGCTCCATATATTTCATTGACATTGTTAGTTGGGCCTGTATAGTTCAATGTTATCTTTTATTTCATATTTGCGAAAGACAAAAATGCAGCTGCAAAAACAAAAATAAAGCTGAATGAAGTCTTCTTCGCTGAGTTTCCACTGTCCTCGTTGTCAGAAAACACGTTTCGAACTGGGTGTGTGTGTGGGTGTGGGTGAGGGTGGGTGTGGGTGTGGGTGTGGGTGAGGGAG